TTGAATATTATTCACTCCTGGGCATCTGCCTTCTCAACTTAAGCCTCAGTTGCCCTCACTTCCTAGCATTCCAAGGGCAGGGTCCCGACGTGGGACTGGATGGAACCAGGGCAAGCCGGTAAGTTATGTGCTACCCTGGCATCACGATGGGCCAGGCCAAGGTGCCACGATTCTTAACTATAAGTTAAGAGTTTGATCATAGGCAAATGATGTCATGATCCAAAAGTAACGACGAGACTAGGGCCCTGCTGCTAGGAATAGGAAAGATATCTGGCCTGAGCACTGCAGTCTGAGATCGAGATGGCCCTAGGAGAGCAATTCTATAAGCTCAAAGTATTTCTTTTTTTTTTTTTTCCCTTTATTTTATTTTATTTTTTTTAAAGTTGTAGATTTACAATTTTTTGTGCTTTGGTTTCAATTATACAATGATCAGATACCCATCCCTCCACCAGTGCCCATTTTCCACCACCATGGATAATATCCCTCCCACCCCCATCCCCCCATCCCCCCTGTCTCTGTGGCAGGGCAATCCCCTGTGTTCTCTCTCTCCTTTTGGGTGTTGTGTTCTGCAAAAGAGGCATTGAGTGGCAAACATGTTCAGTCCATAGTCTACTTTCTACATGCATCTCCCCTCCTGGGAGGATCCTCCAAACATCCTTTATTTGGTGCTCCCTTCTCTATCTGAACAGCCCTTTCCTCTAGGATACCCGGCTGGCCTCTAAGTTATGGAGTAATCCTCCTGGTGCTGATCTCAGCTATTCGTGGGTATTAATCTCATACTTTGTTACTTTATATCCCCCAGATGAATGCAATCTTTCTATGTCTATCCCTCTCTTTCTGACTCATTTCACTTAGCATGATACTTTCCATATTGTACCACTTGTATGTAAATTTCATGACTTCATCTTTTCTAAGAGCTACATAGTACTCCATAGCTCAAAGTATTTCTTACTGTGTCCATACGAAATGATTAATATTATGTATGCTTATATGTTGTTTGGACAAGGAGAGGAGAAACACATCCTAGAAGCAGTTTCCTGTGTGTCCTGACTAGCTTGGATGAGACTGCTTTTTTGGAGATGTAGATTCCAAGCTCTAGCAGACTGGTCTTTGTTGTGCTAATCTAAGTGCTTGTAGCTTGTGAAAAGGTGAGGCCAGGATTACTGGCCTGCAGATGTAAGGAAACAATGTATGTTTGCAGCCTCAGTGTTCTTTCTGTAACTCCTTTTGATGACATCATTATATTGCGCCCTTTAGAGGTACTATGATCTATATAAGGGAGATTTCAGGGCTCTCTGGGGGGACACGTGCATCAGAGAACCTGGGAAGATGGGGCTGAGGACAGAAGCTGAGAGAACAAAGGCGCACGTGCTCGAGGATTCCTGAGGCCTCCATGACATACATCTCTTCCATGTAATAAACGGCTACTAAGACCAACTAGCTTGGCCTCGTTTCCTTCCTTCGCCTGACCATCGCCATCGACCTCCCTGGAGTGGGGAAATGGCCAGACCGCCGGCCATTTTATTTTTTGTGTGTTTACACACAACAGTACCTTCACCAGCATCTATTTCCCTTCATCAATGATCCCCCTTGCCTGCCTCGGTGACAGACAACTCCTTCCTCCCTTTTATGTGCTATAGTCTGCAATACTATTACTGATATGGTCTCACGCATACTATTTCCCTCTGTCCAGCACTCAGCCCTTCTCTGGAAAGGGATAGAAACTGAATGTTGTCATGTTGTCTCTCACATGATGTTTTTAATGTACCTGTTAGCATAAAAGACAGCAAGGGGTGGGGTGGGGACATGAAACAGGTATGCTAACTCAATGACTGAGTAGCCTGTCTCCTTGCTCAGCAAACTGTGAAGGATAGCTTGCTGGATAGTTGCTATCTCTTGCATTCATAGAAATCAGTGACTCCTCGCACCACCCACACTTATTGAAGAATAAGTTATATGGTGACCAGCTGCCACACCTAACTTGTTCATAAATACAGTTCCGTGGACTTTCTGGTTTGTTTTATTTGGGAGATTGTATCAACAGTGCACCATGTACTGCCATGGTTCAAAACTGGGCCAATCCCATGAAAGCCATATGGTTCAGACCTTTGAACTTTCTACCCAGCCTGGTTTTTGAAATTTTTTTTTGAAAGAAAATTTCCAAGTTCCAATAGATTTTAGAAAGCTTTTAGCTAGCCTTGGGATTTTATCTTAAAAGTCACAGGTGGAAATGGCTGTGTAGCATAAACTATATTAATACTATGTGACAGGTAAAAGAAGCACATGTATTTGGGCAAGTCCCTCCAAGGTCAGGTTGGAGGCTGTGTATATCCTTTCTCAAAGCTAATCTAGACTAATCAATCTCCCTCTCTAACTTGATTTTTGTTGCAGTCTTTCCATCAGTTTGCCATTTTCAACTGAGCCTCTAGATGTATTTGTTAGGTTTTCATACAGTTTAATCTTGAATTATTTGGGTAAGTGATTCAATATTGTAATTCATTACTTTGGTTGACTACACAAAATTAAATGGATATTTGCATTACTTAATACGGCTTGATATCACTTGAGCAGATTTATAAAATTAAACATTTTAATTGACTAAATAAAAAGTAATATTTAGCATAATAAAGATCATAAAGAGTAGATATAATAAAGATAATATATAGATAATAAAGAGTAAAAATTAGCATAATACAATACTGTCCTCTTAGATATCAAGTGTTCCACCCATTAAATTTTTATTTAAAGGAAATAATGAATTTTGTTATATAGGGAATATGTTGTGGGGTGGGGTAGGAAGAATTATATTAATTATATTATGCATCTTTTTGTTTTAAGGGAACTTCACTCAATTTGCCTTATTTGATTCTGCTCACATCCCCACTTGCCCCACCCCATCTGCATTTTTCCTGTTTTTTGTTTTGTTTTGTTTGGGGGCCACACCTGATGATACTCAGAAGTAACTTCTGGCTCTGCACTTAGGTATTACTTCTGATGGTGCTCAGGGACCACATGGGATACTGGAGATCAAACACAGGTTAGGCATGTAGAAGGCAAGCATCCTGTCTGCTATACTTCCACTTTGGACTTGTTATTTTAAACTCATGGTTTTAATTCTTACTAAGAGAAAAGAGTTTAGAATTTGCAGGTTTAAAAAAAACAGAAAACATTTTGCTGAATTTGTGTAACATCATCTAAAGCAGTTAATGGATAGAAAATCATGTGCTATCTGTCTGTTTACCTAAGCTTCTTCACCTTTTTAATCTACTTTATTTCCAAATGCCAGAGTAGTCTGAACCTTTCTAAGATTTATAGATGGCAGAAGTAGAGTAATATTAAGATAAATCCCCAAACTTTGGTGAAAGCTTTAATATAATTAATAGATAGTATCTACGATTCGTATACACCATAGAATGGGTAAACTTACAGGTACCATAAGAAAGTTAAATACAGTTTAACAATAGGCATGAGGCATGATTTCCCTCTTGCTAAAAAGTCAGAGGAACTGCTTTTTAAAATATAACCCAGTAAAAAAAGAATTTTTCATTTGTATTGGTCAACTGAATGCAAAATACTATACAATGAACAAAAGTAGTAAGCACAATCTTGGTTTTTGAAGTACACAGGTAAATAAAAGGACCCTAACAATGAAACCAATGTATTTCTTTCAGAAAATGACAAAAACAGGATGCTGATTAAAGGAGTTACTTTGACTCCAGTCCTTACACCTTTTAAGTTCAGAATAAAGGCAGCCAGCATCAGCACAAAGAAGTCTTCTCTTAAAGAGGAGGAACTTCAACAGAAATAAAAGGCTGTGATAAGAATTTGAAAAACCAACAAAAGTTCTGAGATCTTAGCTGGATTATACCCTGGCAGAAGACTCTTACCTTCATAGAAAACCTAAATTAGTGCAGTTTAAGAAAACAAAAACTTTTCAAGGGAAAGCAGTGTGGCCTCCCTGGGGTGCCCACATCTCAACAAGGATGTGTGTCCATGCCTCACTCTCCTCTGGAGGAGCCCACGTTCTCTACTGAATGCGGATTTTTTCTTCTCCTCTTCCTTTCCCTCCCTTTCCCTCCTCTCTCCTCCTCCCCGCTGCCTTCTTCTTACTTCCCTCCTCTCCCCTCTCCTGACCCTTCCCTTCTCCCCATTCCCCTCTCCTCCCCTTTCCTGACTTCCTTCCTCTTCCCTCTTCTCCCTCCCCTCTCCTCCCTTCTCCTTATTTCTCTCCTCTCCCTTCCCCTCTCCTCCCCTCAAGCATCTCCTGTTCTCCTCTCCAACTCCTCCCTTCCCTCAAATTCCTTGAATTTTCTGAACTCCATGAATTCCCTTTTTCTTCACTACTCATCACATTGTAAAATTCTTTAATGAGAGGGTACATGATCAACCTGGAAATTTGAGCAAAAACTAGAACTGGCTTTATTTTTCTTAGAAATAGCAACCTCTCACTACAGCAGAATCATTATTCCCCCAAGAATTTGAATGGTGTGGAACAGGTCCTGAACAATGAAAATAAAGTGGACCTTAGTCCAGACTTCCGGCTGTCTAGTGAGGTCATGTCATGCAAGTTCTCTTGGAAGACTTCACCAGTCCCACCCCCCAGGCACTTTCCAGAATGAGCAAGAAGATGGGTCAGGCAGAACAGGGAGAGTGCTCACTCTTGAGGTTATTCCTTTCTTCCCCACTTTTACCCAAGTCACCAATAACAGTTTTAAATATAATTGCTCTATCATTTGGAACTTTTCTTATAATTTCTTATAACCAAAAAGTAGCTATCATAATGTTATTTATAAAATCAACAACAGTGTGAGCAAATTATTATTAAATTTTTTATGAAAATATTTTGCATCATACATATAATATACCAATACCAAATGTCTAAAACAAAAATACTGAAAATATGTAACAAATAAAATTATTCTTATTGCATTCAAGATTTTTTTTATCCCGAACTAAATTATGGCTTCATGAGGAAATATGTGGTGTGAAAAAGATCTCACCTCATATTCAAAGTCTTCTGTTCTGTCTACATCAGTAGGTAATCTGGAAAAATACTCATGGTCCTCATAAAATTCATGCTCCATCGGATGAAGAGAATGACAGCTATGAGGAAAGTAGAAAGATGGTACGAATTATAAAAAAGTTTGTCTCTAAGATTAAAAGAGATTTTTGAATTTCACTTTTCCTATGCTTTTCAGAGACCTGTGCAGTGATCTAGCCCACAGTTTCTTTTATTTCCTTTCTCTTTTTTTTATTAGTGAGACACCATGAGGTACAGTTGTAGACTTACAAATTTCTGTGCTTGGGTTTCAGTTATACAATGATCAAATGCCCATCCCTCCACCAGTGCCCATTTCCCACCACCACGGATCCCAGTATCCCTCCCACCCCTCATCCCCCTATCCCACCCTGCTTCTGTAGCAGGGCATTCCCTTTTGTTCTCTCTCTCCTATTGGGTTTTGTGGTTTGCAAAAGAGGCAATGGGTGACAATCATGTTTGGTCTAGAGTCTACTTTCAGCATGCTTCTCCCATCCTGGGAGGATCCTCTTAACACCTTTATTTTAGTGTTCCCTTCTCTATCTGAGCTCCCTTTTCCCCTAGTATGTGTGGTTGGCCTCCAAGCCATGGAATAAAGTTCCTGGTACTAGTCTCGGCCATTCTTGTAGCCCACAGTTTCTTAAACTGTGAGTCATAACCCCACATGGGACTATGTAACTTTTTCCAAATTATTTTGAAGTATTTTTCTTTTCTTTCTTTCTTTCTTTCTTTCTTTCTTTCTTTCTTTCTTTCTTTCTTTCTCTCTCTCTCTTTCTTCCTTCCCTCCCTCCCTCCCTCCTTCCTTCCTTCCTTCCTTCCTTTTTTCTTTCTTTCTTTTTTCTTTCCCTCCCTCCCTCCCTCCCTCCCTCCCTCCCTCCCTCCCTCCCTCCTTCCTTCCTTCCTTCCTTCCTTTTTTCTTTCTTTCTTTTTTCTTTCCCTCCCTCCCTCCCTCCCTCCCTCCCTCCCTCCTTCCTTCCTTCCTTCCTTCCTTCCTTCCTTTTTTCTTTCTTTCTTTTTTCTTTCCCTCCCTCCCTCCCTCCCTCCCTCCCTCCCTCCTTCCTTCCTTCCTTCCTTCCTTCCTTCCTTCCTTCCTTCCTTCCTTCCTTCCTTCCTTCTTTATTTTTTGTGAAGGGGTTTTGAGGATTGCTCTGGCTCTATGCTCACGAATTATTACTGGAGAATCATTCCTGGAGGGCTTAGGGGAACATATGTGGTGACAGGGATCAAACCAGGTCTGGCCCAGAGCAAGGCAAGAATCCTACCTGCTGTATATTTCTAGCTCCTAACGTAATTTTATTTATGATTTTTTAGAAAAACAAAAGAAACTCTTCCTCACTATCCTTCATGACCCACATTTCCACACCCCACCTTGATTAAGGACACAGGGCACATTCACAAATATTAATCATTCATGGTGAATAATTTAACCCATATAATTTCATAATCATTTAGAAAATTGCAGGATAGAGAGGTAATTAAGTAAAGGAAACAGGATCAGGGCAATGATATGACTGTTACGTTTACTTCGGCTTTTGGGAAATGCATTAAACAACTTTATAAAAATAAATAAATAAAGGCCCTCCCGTTGATCATCGATTTGCTCGAGCGGGCCCAGTAACGTCTCCATTGGAGACTTTGTTGTTACTGTGTCTGGCATATCGAATACGTCACGGGGAGCTTGCCAGGCTCTGCCGTGCGGGCGAGATACTCTCGGTAGCTTGCCGGGCTCTCCGAGAGGGGCGGAGGAATCGAACTCGGGTCGGCCATGTTGACTGCGTGCAAGGCAAATGCCTTACTGCTGTGCTGTCGCTCCAGCCCTAAACAACTTTATAAAGTGTTTACAAATTTATATATGATGTAGATACTGTACTTTTTACCATATGAAAGCTAAGCACAGTTTAACATAAAAGGAGGCATGGGATCATCTTTGTTTTCAAAAGCAGTGAAGTTTCAGATGTAACCAATTTGATTCCATGTGAGACCTCTAAGTCCTGTTAGTGTACGCACTATTGAAAAACTGAAGTTGGTAGTGTAAATTATCTTCTTTTACATCCGTTAAAAGGCAAGAGACACATCCTTGTGCACTCACACAATCAATGTAAATAAAATTCTACAAACCTCTTCTTACTTTTGTTTCTGGCTATTGGCTCCATGTAGAGCTAATCAATGTGGTTCTAAGTATCATAACAAAGAAGGAAACATTTGTTGCTGGTGTAACAAGTGCACCCTCTCACATCAAAACAAATTCTGCAAAACCTGTTACTTCGGTAAAAATGTTAAAAGTTTCTATTTTTCAGATCTGGTGCCAGATGGTAACAAGACAACCTGTGGTGAAGAATACTTTATTAATTTAACAAACATGCATTGAATATCCACCAGGTGAAGTGCTAGAAATATGTTGGCACAGAAAAGAGAATTATATCTCTGTTAATTGCATAAAGTAGTAAAGTAGAAATTTTAATATAGTGTGATGATGGATTGAAAAAAACATAGAAGATGTGAATGTGAAAGCATGATGTGGATGTACCTCCTGTAACTCTGAAAAATTTAATAGAAGAGGTTGCCTTCAGTTAAGATATGCAGAACAGATATGACACTACATATCAGCTTGTCAACTCAAAAATCTGGTATTGTTTCTTCCTTCTATATGATATTGATCAAGTTATTTAATATCTATCCCTCATCTGTAATATGAAGATAACAATGTAATGTACTCACTCAAAGGTTCTTATACATACTTAATAAGTTCATTAATGTAAGCATTTAGAATACTACCTAAAGATTAACTTAGTTAGCGAACAGAATGCTAGGTGTTATTAGTCATTTAAGAAAATATTGAATTGCCATTCTATATCGTGGATTCCTAGAAATTATAGACGTTACATATTTGTCTGTTTTTGCAATGTTCATTTTCTCTAAAAGAAAGGCATCAGTAGGTAGCACTGTAGCACAGTTGTTGTTCATCAATTTGCTCGAGTGGGCACCAGGAATATCTCCATTGTGAGACTTGTTGTTACTGTTTTGCCATAATGAATATGCCATACGGAGCTTGCCAGGCTCTGCCGTGTGGGCGGGATATTCTCAGTAGCTTGCCGGGCTCTCCGAGAGGGGCAGAGGAATTGAACCTGGGTCAGCAGCATGCAAGTTAAACACTTTCCCCACTGTGCTATTGCTCCAGCCCCATCAGTAAGTATTTAATTTTTTTTACTTCCAGTTATATCCCTAGAACCTATTTATAGTGCTTAGCCCAAGGAACTGTTCATAAATAATTTATTGTTGGAGCCAGAGAGATAGTACAGCAATAAGGCTCTTGCACTCTACATGGTCCTTGCTCCCCATCTGGTTCTCTGAGCCCATGTCAGGCATCATCCTTAAGCAAAAAGTCAGCAGTAAGCTCTGAGGACAGCTAGTTGTTACCCCCACCAAAGAAAACAATAAATACTGTAATGGATAGATAAATGTAGCAATAAACAAGACAGATGTCTCTTTCCTGGAACCTGACGTTTCAAACAAAAACAAATGCTTGTGAAATATGTCTTTATGTAAAAAATGTCCTGTGAATATTTTTGAAAAATTCTACTGCTTGTCAGTCATTTAAAAAATTCTTATTTGAGGCTAGAGAGATTGTACAGTGGGGTAGGACATTTTGCTTGCCCACAGCCAACCTGGATTTGATCCCTGGTATCCTAGGTGTTCCCCAGAGGAGCACCAGGAGAATTTCTTGAGTCCCACTTGATTCAAGTGTGATTCAAAAAGCCAAAAACAAACAAACAAAAATTCAGGCATTGAATTGGAATTGCTTTTCTGTTCCCAGGAACACTTGTGAGCCATTGAAATAGACTTATGAAAACCACTAAAGGCGAAAGAAGTAGCATGATCAGATCTATGTTTTACAAACAATAGAACAAATTGCAGTATGCAATTAAAATGCAGTTTAAATCAAAGACTCGCTAATGTTGAAATATTTACTTAAAAGGTCACAGAAAGAAAACAAATGGGAAATATATTTCAGAGTTGTGAAAGGGTATTTATTTGAGTAAAATATCTCTATCTCTGAATCGCATAAAATTGGAAATGAATGTTTCTCTAATAATTCACTATTTCATAGTTCTCCACTTAGTCTCTGTCCTCTAAGACCTGTTGTTTGAATCTCAGTATGTTGGATCATTGTTATACTTTTTAAAGAATAGTACTCTAGATTAGTTTCTAAAAAAATCACACTGTAGTCTGAGTTTCTCCCTTAAAGAAGAGAAAAGCAGGAACAAGAAAAGGTTATCCACAGAGAAGAGTATTGTGCCAAAATATAATTTTATGTCAGTCTTAGTAGGGGTTTTGGCAGGTTTGGTCAGAGATAAGCTATTTCCCTGACTTGTGCTTATATTTAGCATGAGGTTTATGATGATCAGAGATATGAAGATAAACTAGAGTCAGAACTTTTCACTACACCTCATAAAATACTGTTCCTGATGTGAATTGTGTGTGTGTCCGTGAGTGTGTGTGTCAGGATGAGAGTATAGGGAAAAGCACATAACAGAAACACCTGACAAGGAATTGGATATGTCACAGCAGGTATTTTTCCAAACAGAACTAAGAGTCTAACTCCACAATTGCCTTCCTAGTGTTACTCATTCTTCCCAACAGCTATTCAAAATAATTAATGTAAATAAGTAGAATTTGGGGAGATGATAGAAAAATACCTGTCTGAGAGCAGAAATGGACAGATGTCTGGCACAGGAGGGGTAGGTGGCCTAAATTTTGCCAAGGTCATGATGTGTTCAAAAGTGATGTCAGTCTGAGTACTAGCATTCGTGAGTTGGACTTCTGAAGATGTGCTATAGACTGGTTTACTGAGAGGCGTTCGTCTCAGCACCTGGACCACAATGGGCTCCTTGGCATTTTGAAAAGCCTCCATTGCCTCCTCATGGGTGAACTTTGAGAGATCCTTCCCATTGACCTGTAAAAATAAAATAACATAGTATATCTCAGAAGAAAGAAGATGCAAGCTGTCATGTCAAAAGGTGAGAAGTTTGAAACCCTCTATGTATGTTTAAAGGGATATTTAATTAGCATTGACATGTATTTAACTATCATCATGAGAAAGCAAAGGAGATTAGAGACATAATTTTATATCATTGTGAAGCACAAGCCATCATAAATATTAGTAGCACTGTCCTCCCATTGTTCATCGATTTGCTTGAATGGGCACCAGTAATATCTCCATTGTGAGACTTGTTGTTACTGTTTTGGCATATCGATTACACTACAGGGAGCTTGCCAGGCTCTGTCGTGTGGGTGGGATACTCTAGGTAGCTTACCAGGCTCTCGTCTCCGAGAGGAATGGAGGAATTGAACCCAGGTCAGCCGCATGCAAGGCAAATGCCCTAACCGCTGTGTTATCGCTCCAGCCCATAATATTATATTATTATAAATATTAGTAAAAATAAATATTCTAATGGAACAATATCAGAATAGATAAAATCTTTAGTTAGGTAGAAGTGTAAGTATAAGGGCCAGGTTGATAATACTACAAGTAAGGTTTTTGCCTTGTACGCGGCTAACAAGTGTTCAATCCCTTGTATGGCCCCTGAACCCCACAAGTGTAACCTCAGGGAACAAAGCGAGTAGTAATCCCTACACAGAACTGGATGTGACCCCCCGATCATAAAAGTACAACCTTAAAAATTTTCTTTCAATCACGTTGAGATTTTCAATATTAATAAAATATTTTCTTTGATTTTGATATCTATTGTAAGTATTTTATACTCATAGTCTTAATCCAGGGCTGGAGTGATAGCACAGAGGGTAAGGCATTTGTCTTGCAAGTGGCCGACCCAGGTTCGATTCCTCTGCCCCTCTCAGAGAGCCCAGCAAGCTACTGAGAGTATCTCGCCTGGGCGGCAAAACCTGGCAGCTACCCGTGACATATTCAATATGCCAAAAACAGTAACAACAAGTCTCACAATTTGTTGCTGGTGCCCGCTCCAGCAAATCAATGAACAACAGGAGGACAGTGCAGTGAAGTGCTACTTTAATCCAAGATTATGTATTTTTCTTAGGCATTTTATCCCTGTTCAATGCATTCAAAGTGTGATCATTAGACAAGCCACATAACCTTCACTGAAGATAATTAGAAATGTAAAATCCCTGATTTTTCCCAGACCTACAGACTCAGTATTGAAAATTTAAGAATATTCCAGCATACTCATTCAAAAAGCACCACAATAAAACTCTATGTGTGGATACTCTTTGCCTCTTATGATATTCATCTATTTTAGTTATACCGATCAATGAACTTCTCTGAAGACTCTCTCAAGGTGCAGGGAACCGATCAATGAACTTCTCTGAAGACTCTCTCAAGGTGCAGGGAATTTGCTCTCAAGTAGTTATTAATTTATTCCCCTAAAGTAAGTCTTTATTGCACTGCTTCTTAATGGAAGTTGTGTCTTAATAAAGCTCTAAAGAATTATAAAGAAGCTTCACAACTCCCACCCAGAATGAGTAACTTATTCTATATTTTGTAATTCTAAGAGATATTTATTCACATAACACTAGACCCAAAGATCCAGAAATTGTGCCTTTCTTGACTACAAGCCACATGTCTATTTGTAATGTATACTAGGCATGCTAGGTAATATATATTAACAAATCCTTAGAAATACCTGAGTGCCTTAAGAAAGAAGAAATGTTGCAATCATAGAACAGTTACTAATATTCAAATGAGCACATTCTCTTACTTGGAGGAGAGGAAGCAAGTGTGTGTGTGCTCAGAACAAAAGTGGGGTAATTTGGGATAAATGATACAATGTCAGCTAGAATAGTTAAGCCATGCAGAATTAAGCTTAATGTCCTAGGGAAGATAGTTTGTCAAATAAACCCTGGAAGAATTAAACTGCCTTCAGAAATGAACAATTTCGTTTTCTAACTAGTAAGAAATTCAGTAGAATAACTGAATGATTACCAACCAGTTCAAAGCGGTAGGGCGTTTGCCTTGCATGCGGCCAGCCTCACTGACCCGGGTTCGATTCTTCCTCCCCTCTCAGAGAGCCTGGCAAGCTACCGAGAGTGTCTAGCTTGTAAGGCAAAGCCTGGCAGGCTACCCATGACGTATTTGATATGCCAAACACAATAACATCAAGTCTCACAATGGAGATGTTTGCATGCTTGAGCAAATCCATGAACAACAGTGCTGCAGAGCTACCAACTAGTTCAGACACACACACTGATGTGTTAATCTCTGGTTCTTTTCTCCAAGATAAAATTTAAAAGTTACTCCTAGCACAACTTTAGAATGTAGATTACTTTGGACATATGGTGAAGAAAAATCATCTCTAAGCATGAAGATTTATATTTTGAGTTACTGTTAGATAACAGGCTTGGCAGGCTGAGGTTAACACTATATCCCTGAGGATGTGTAGTTACCCAAAAATAAAACAGCAAAAGCTAAAAGAACAGTTACAAATTGACTTAAAATATATAAAAATATTTTTATAGTTTAAGTAACATGTTTGCAATAGTATTATATTTGTAGTTTTGAGTCACAGTTACCATAGCTCATCATTACCAAAATGGCCATGGTGTATGGTTCATATTTAATATTTCATCACACGAGAGTTTTATAAATAGAGGTGGAGGAAATTGGAGCCAAATCTGACTGTACTCATGGTTATTCCTAATTATGCTCAGGATTGAGTCCTGGAGGTGTCTGGGGAACCATATGTGACTCCAGGATTCAAAGCTTCAATGGGTACAAGGTCAGAGTCTTAATCTCTGTATTTTTCTGACTATTTGGCTCCAGACTTCTAATTTTATGATGTTCCTTCAATTTAGTGAATATACTCTTTTGTACAAAGCCTGGCAAGCTACTTGTGACATATTCGATATGCCAAAAACAACGTAACAACAAGTCTCACAATGGAGACGTTACTGGACCCACTTGAGCGAATCGATGAACAATGGGAGGACAGTGCTACAGTGCAGTGCTACTCTTTTGTAAGATTTCACTTTAAATTGAAGTATATTCTATATTCACTGCCTCTAAAAATAACTTGGTTATGATTAATTATTATACATTTTAAAATGTATTGAATTTATGTAATATGATACCATTTTCTATGTTTTGCATTTAATAATTAAGAGTGTTAGAATTGAAGAACTTCTACCCTTTTGGAAGAAATTCCAGGCATATATGACAGTAAAGGGAAAAATAAAAATAATTTGTGCCAAGGTTTTGTCCAGAAACATATCAAATTATATTTAAACATAAATTGTATGTCAATAAGTAGCAAACATTCTATTCCTTTCTCAAGTTAGTAATCTAATCTCAGTGTTCATTTTACTTTTTAAATGCTTTCTAAAATAAAAATATGTTTTAAAAATGAGCTACCAAAGGAACACCAAAGTAAAGGTTATTGGGAGGACCCATTTGGGTTGAAAGATGCATGCAGAAAGTTGACTATAGACCAAACACGATGGCCGCTCAATACCTCTATTAAAAAACCATAACACCCAAAAGAGAGAGAATCAAAGGGAATGCCCTGCGCTGAGGCGTGGTGAGGTGGTGGGGGATGGGGTGGTGGTGATGGGAGAGATGCTGGGAACATTGGTGGTGGAGAATGGCCACTGGTGGAGTGATGGGTAAACGATCACTGTATGACTGTAATGCAAACATGAAAGTTCATAAGTTTGTAACTGTACCCCAGGGTGATTCCCTAATAAAAAAATGGGCAAATAAAATTTAGAAAATTAAAAAAATGAGTTACCTACTTATAATTATTAGTTTTTTTATAAGCAAGTCAGCTTTTTTCAAACTACAGTCTACTACAGTCTGCAGGAACAAAAATTATTATAAATTTTGAAATGAAATCATTAGCCTTACTAAATGTTTACTATATGTATACGCAGACAATATTAGTGCACATTAAGCAAGAGAAATAGCCACTTACTTTAAGACTTATACATTTATTTATTTACAATCACAACTTTGATATGCAAATTTTATATTTTGCTTTAAGGACAATCTAACCCAATTTGAGAGAAAGAACAAGGCAATCTCTATTATCTTGAATCCCTATTGGGAAATGCTCTTTTCTTCCAGTTATCAAGCAGCTGAAATCTATTTCCATAAGCTATTTAATATCTATTAAATTAAAGATGTCTATGATCTCTAGAATCTCTACTTTCTCACATAATACTTTCAAAAAAACAAGCACTGATTATACAAACACTCCCCCCACCCCAGTTTATAGGAAATTAATCAATATAGTGTTAGCCTACAGAAAGTGACTATTTTTCAAAAACATTCTCCTTACAACAGAAATGAAAATCAAAAACAGTTGTTTAATTGGAATTTTCTGGCAATAGCTTTGCTCAGTTGTCAGTTACATCTAGGGAGAGGAATAACACTGAAGGAGATCTAAGATTTTCTCTGCTAGGAAATGTCTTCAGTAAGTTAACAAATAAATTAATAATATTACTTCTATTTTTGCAAATGATTAGATTCAACAACATGCATTTCCTATTATATGGTATGATTGTTTGAGCAGGCCCAGTAACATCTCCATTTTGAGACTTGTTGTTACTGTGTTTGGCATATTGAATACATCATAGGCAGCTTGCCAGACTTTGCCGTGTGGGTGAAATACTCTCGGTAGCTTGCCCGGCTCTCCGAATGGGGGCGGAAGAATCAAACACAGCTGGGCCGGGCTGGCTGTGCACAAGGCAAACATCCTACCACTGTGCTATCACTCCAGTCCCATGGTATGATTATCCTTATTTTATTTCTTTAACCCCATTTTGCTCCCTGATACCATTTATGGTCCTTGTAGTACAGCCAGAAGTGATCCCTGAATACAGAGCCAGTAGTAAGTCCTGAACATTGTTGAGTATAGCCCATAAACAGAAGAGAAAATAAAGTCATGTATTAAATACATACACACTAATACTGCAAGACATATC